GTAAGTTTGAAGTAAGGGAGGGAACATGATTAAGGGAGTGGAGGTGTTCGGGGTGTGAATTGAGCCTGAACCTGTGTGAGTGATGGGTAAAGTATGACCATTACCTACACTAATAGCTTCAGTTCCATGGTAGGGAGTCGGAGTTTGCAGCTGTGAAAGATCATGTGTAGCATGAGTATTAGCACCTGTATCAAGGTACCAATCACCAGTTTGGTTGCTTGTGGTTGCATGCATAGCACGAGAATTGGTAGCCGAGTTGCTCTCAGTAGAAGAATCATCATAGCGGTACCAGCAGGTAGCAGCAGAGTGGCCACGCTTTGAACAGATCTGACATACTAGAAGATCGTGTGACGGTCCGCGGCCTCCCCCCCTTCCGTAGCTTCGACCGCCGTGACCGGATCCTGATCCTCGCCCAGGAGACGGTCGACCGTTCGGTCCACCTCGACCGCGGCCTCGACCGCTGTTTGTGTACAGGGTAGAGTGAGAAACTCCAGAGGCGGAATCTGCAATACTCAATTTTTGCTCAATTTCAAGATTTATTTCTTCAGAGGTCAACCACCCAGAGAGTTGATTGAGACTTATATTCTCATTGTTCATCCGTATATTTTGCTTGAAGGAGGAATATTCATGAGGGAGGCCTCGGATAACAACATTCACCACATCTCTCTCGGGAATAACCTCGTTGAGAGCATCCAAATCGGTGAGAATAGTAGCAAATTCATCAAGGTACTGGGTGATAGTTTTTGTACCTTTTCGGAGTGTGTGAAGTTTGTCCCGTAGTTGATAGATGTGAGCAGTAGAAACAGAATTATATCGGGCAGCGAGAGCGTTCCACAGATCGGCAGATGTGGTGAAGTTGCGGGCATGCTTGTGAACAGACGGACTAATGACGGCAAGAAGGCATGCACGGATCTGAGTATCGATCACAGTCCATGTTTGGAACTCTGGGTTAGGGTTTTCCTTGCCATCCTTGGATAGGATTTTTGGAGGTGCAGCTTCATGACCATCGATCCAACCAAGAAGAAGGTTGGCCTCGAGAGCAGTTTTGACATTGAGAGACCATGCAGGGTAATTTGAATCGGTGAGCTTTTCTGGGACAAGATTATGGAGATTGCGGAGAAGAAGCTTGATGCCAGAAGGTAGCGAAGCAAGCGGATCAGAAGGTTGAGCAATGATCGCCGTGTACGGTCGACCGGCGAGAAGGAGGAGACCGGCGGTGAAGCAAAGTCTCGAAAAAAAAGTCTAGGGTTTAAACCTAAGCTCTGATACCATGATACAATTTGATAATAATTTGTCTTATTGAATATTGAGAAATATGTCCCTATATATAGGGATTACAAGAGAGAGTCTTATCCTTAGTAGGAAAGGAATAAAGTAATTATGGTAATACAAGAATAAAGAAACTAAATAATATTAGGAGTCTTCCTATTATTTATCCTTTTGTTATGCTGGTGGTCTTTCCAAAACATTCTTTAATTTATTTCTATTTTTTCTCTTGATGAGACTCTATGCCTAGCTTTTCCGTGTTTGTGACTTGCAGAACGTGCCATACATTTTTATTGAATCCAAAGAACATCTCGGCTCTGCATGTGGGATAGAAACGCCCGCTTCAGCTTGTTCCGTAAGGAACAACGGAGACCCCGACTTTGATGCTCTTCTAAATTTTGCTATTGACTTAGAAGATAACACGCTTTATTGACAATAACTCTATAATAATACGGACTAATAATTAAGTAAATTTCAAAAATGATTCTTTGCAAAAATAATATTTTTCCTAATTCAATCCTCAATAAATTTCAATTACTTACATAATTCTTTATGATTGAGATTTATTTCTTAAATAATCACATTTAAATGATAATTAATTGGAGGGTTTTTGTTAGTTCTATCATCTAAATTTAAAGTAAATTCTTAAAATAATCATTTCTATACAATTCAATGTAAATTTAAAATAGAGGATGTGTAATCTTACACCAACCCAATTTGTGTGACGTCGTCACACTAGTTCAATTGAAATACTTACGGCGCGCCGATCGTAAAATTGATTATTTATACCCACATAATCCCCCGATAAACCCCCTAGCCCGCCCTGTCCCCAATAATAATGCATCTCCGACAGTTTCATTGTACCAAATTTGGGTCTAAAATTTGACTCGAGAGTCAACGAAATTTAGCGCAATGAATTTGACGGCGGCACGTTGAGAACAAGTCGGGCTAGGGCTAGGGAGTTTACCGAGGGCTAGAGGGGTAAAAGCAATAAATTTTATGATCGGAGGCCCATAGGTATTCCAATTGAATTGGTCTAACGATGTTACACTAATTGGGTTTGTGTAAGATTACCCCTCCTCTTTAAAATACTCCGTAATACACTATACATAATCCATAAATTATTAAAAATATACAAAAAAATATTTCAATATCCGAATCAAATATACATCTTTGATTAGAAAAGTCATTTTGAATAAACATTTCATTAAAAATGATCATTTTATGAACTTATTCTTAGTTTAACTAATAAAAAAATATCAAAACACCACCATTTCTTTACTATTTTAATGATATTTTTTTACAAAGTACTACCCAAAGAATAAATTTCAATTATATAATATCATATAAGTAATTAAAACTTATTGAGGCTTGATTTGAGAAACACTTCATTAGATATAACTATTTTTATAATTTAATAATAACAATAACAATAACAATAACAATAACAATAACAATAGTAATAGTAATAGTAATAGTAATAATAATAATAATAATAATAATAATAATAATAATAATAATAATAATAATAATAATAATAATAATAATAATAATAATAATAATAATAATAATAATAATAATAATTGATGGATACCCCGGACAGGGGGTATCCGGTCTTTGTATAATATTAGCTGGGGCGGTCCAGTTTGTGCGATCGGCCCGTTAGTCGTTTATTAATTACTTATTTTGGGCGGCCCATCCTATTGGGCCGGCCCATTGGTCTTTGTATGTAACCCTTGCCCTAACTCTCCCATTATACATACCTCTCTTCTTGGAAGAGGAAAGGGGGGAGCTCATTCCACAAGCTCCGGACTTACGTTCTAAATGATACTCTTACTAGCACAATACTACTCTCAATTTACTTAACCCCCATATTTTGTGCATTCTCGACTCAGTTCGATACTCTTCCGCCTAGTCACCTAGGCCCCCGGGTTCCATAACCCAACAACAACAACAACAACAACAACAAGAATAATAATAATAATAATAATAATAATAGTAATAATAATAATAATAATAATAATAATAATAATAATAATAATAAGAGGAATTTATCTAAATAGGATTAAAACATAATGACTTTCCCAAAATAGGACCATATGTTTTTATTTTTAAATGTAGGACGTTTGGTCATTATTCATTAGTCATTGTTCATGTAAATGTCCATCATCACTGGATAGTATTCCTCCCACTAGACATTATTAAGTACTATTTAAGGAATAAAAATGTTTAAACTCTATATTGGAGAATGACTTATGTTTTAATTCTATTTAGTGCAAATTTCACTAATTTAGTAATAACAATAATAATAACAAATATATCGAAATCATCTTTCTTGTCATGTGTAGGACGAATTGAAGATGCTTTGATGGGCCTGCTGGATAAAGCCTTCCTGGAATTATTTCTATAAATTTGTGCACCTATATAACGGGTAGCCAAAATAATTTACTACCAAGTGTGTTTGAGACACGTATTATAGACAACATTTGTATTGTTTGGAAGTATTTGTATTATGAAAGAATAAGGATACGAGTGAAAATATTTCTCTTGTATCTCTTGTGTGTACAATATAAACAAAATATGTCTATATATATGATCCCACTTGGCTAAAAACTATATATTGAAACTGATTACAAAAGGAAAAAAATATAGAAGGAAATCAACATATCTCAAAAAACTTATATATATACAAAATAATAATATATATTGAAATATTATTTGATTTAACACACCCCTCAAGTTGAAACCTGCAAAAGTATAGGTAAAATGCGCAACTTGGGACTAAGAAACTCCAAACGTGATTTCCCCAACATCTTTGTATGTATATCTACATGCTGGTGCGTAGTAGGAACATGATGCATGCTAATCACACCGCGAAGGAGCTCATCCCAAACAAAAGGTCATTCGATTTCAATATGCTTCGTGCGCTCGTGGAAAACTAAATTGGCTACAATATGGAGTGCAATTGTACTCTCATAGTGAATAGTCATAGGATTATCTTGTAAGACCCCAAGTGAGTGCAAGAGATTCTTTAACCATTTCAACTCATAAGTAACAGTAGCAAAGGCCCGATACTCAGCCTTTGTAGACGAACGAGCAACTGTTGTTTGTTTTTTCCAAGACCCACATGAATTATCGAGTTGAACAAACCACCTGATGGACAATAAATCCACCCAATGATCCGATTCACAAAGCAGATCATAAGAACAAAATTGAAAGCGAGAATTCGAGAATTGGGTATGTATTATTAGCTTGATTTAGCTTGGGTTCTCCTCTCTCGGGTCTCCTCTATTTATACATGAGCTATAAGCAATTAAGGTAACGCATAATCGATGGAATCTATCCCGCCAAGGGCGCGATCCCCTTTTCCCGGCTCCGTAACGGCCAATCTGCTCCGTCTCCTTCTCCGGATTGACTCTGCCAGCTGCGCTGGGCCTGAGGTTAACTAGGCCCAGCTCCATGGGCCGGCCCAAGCTTGAGTATTTCACAGGTGCTTGACCCGGAGTTGTGTAAACAGTTCATTTGGGCCGCCCACTGGATATCGGCCCATCATAAGCCCCCCAACTCCTCAATCCTCAACTGGGCCAAGTGGAGGAATGGGGAGTTTGCAAAGTCCACGTGGACGCTCCAGCGGGGATCCGGGCCATTCCTCGGGCTCCGCACGACATTTGGGCACGATCTCCACAAATAGGTAATCATGGCCTGCCGATTCACCTTCCTATTGTCAGTTAAAAACCACCTCTAGACGCCATCTCTTTCTTTCGCCTTCTTTACCACCGTTCGTCTACAATTCCGCCGCTCACCCGACCCGTTCTTCTTCTTGTCCAGGTCAGTTCCTTCTCTCGCCGCCATGATTGTTTCAGATTCCGGTTCGGCTACCCCATCGTCCAATTCTCGCCACGCCGATCAATCGGCCTCTGGCCGTAACCCCGGCCACAATCCATCACCCCGGCCGTCGCCGTCGGGCGCGCCTGGCCACAAACGGCGCCGATTGAGGAAGCAATACCCTTCCTCAACTCCGGTAGATGAGGGCTCAAGGGTGGAATTGGACGAAAACATTATGGCGTTGTGCCATTGTCAAATTACTGACCGAGGGTTCGCCGATGCCACTGACATGGTTGGACCCTCCATCGAGGTCATGAGACCTACCAGCACTCAAATTGCTCTAGACGCACCGTCGGGGTTCTTCACGGTCCATCTGGCGTCTTTGAAGAAGGGGCTGCGCTTCCCACTCCACCCGTTGTTGGTCGAATTCCTCAACGTGGTGGACCTTCTTCCGTGCCAACTGGTCCCCAACTCTCACCGGTACATCGCCGGTTATCTGGTCCAGTGCAAAGATGTGGGGGTGAAGCCGACCTTGGACCATTTCGTATTCACCTTCAAGCTGACCAAGGGCCATAAAGATTGGGCATCCTATGCCAGTCTTTCCCAGAGGTCCAGTAAACTCTTTGCCAATGATAAGAAGGGGTCAACCAAAGACTAGAAGCCTTTCTTTGTCTTCGTTTCGACGGGGCCCGAATCTCCTTTCACGGGTTCAGGGCGCCCTTCCTTCCGCCGCATCCCATGCCCCCCACCTGATGCCACCCTTTTGTCCATCACTCGCCAACTCTGCAATAAGGGAGTTATGAACATCAAGGAGGTGGTGACAGAGGAAACCCTTGCCGGGTTGGGGTTTGAGTTTGTTCAGGATGAGCTTCGCCACCAACCCGACCTACTAAGGGACATCCCCGGGGGGCATCAGCCCGCCCGGCTGAAGGACGTCCCTGAGGAAGGTCTTGACTGTGGTCCTTTTGGTAATTGACCTTTTCTTTTGCCCAGATGCTTAGTTTATCTTTTTCCAAGGCTGACCATTTCCTTTGTTTCCAGTGGAATTACAAGATTCAGGAGAAGAGATGGACAGTGATCTCCTGCTCAGTCGCTTCACTGCAGGGAGAAAGAGGAAGAGAGAGACGAAGGGCCAGGGCAAACGCTCTTCGTCCCACCACGAGGGGAGTCCTTCCCGAGAACCGGCTGTAATTGTGGTGGAGGACCATGATGATGCTACCCTGGGGACGGGTACCATGGCGGGCCATTCCCCTCCTCACTCTGTGAGGCCGGGTGGCGACCTCACCAGGTCGTCACAAGTCGTTGCCTCGGAGCGACCTCCCTCGCCTCCCGCGGTGACCTACGAGGTGGCGACCGGTGGTCGCTCGACGAGACTTTGCATTCCTACTCCGCCCCAAAGCCTAGGGGACGTACAACTGGAGACTCTGATCACTCTACCTGCAGAAGACCAGGCTCGTATCTCAGCAGGCTCCGAGGACGACCTTGACAACATGGTCCTTTTGAGGCTCAGTCAGGTACTGGTCTTGATCTCCTATGCATCACTCCTTTTCTTTATGCCCCTAACCCTCACCCCTTTGCGCAGGCTACGCTGGGGATGATTGAGGTGGTCGGCCGGAAACGGGGTCGCCAGGCCGCCGCGGACGAGGCGATGAAAGCAGCCGAGGCCAAGCAGAAAGAGCTGCAGGAAGAGGTCTCTCAACTCACAAGGGAGTTGGAGGAAAAAGAAAATCGCTGCGCGGCGCTTGCTGTGGAGAAAGCTTTCCAGGAGAACCGCTGCGTCGCCTTTGAGGCAGACAAGGCATCCTTGTCCTTGGAGGTAGAATCTGTTTCTGCTCGCGTGGTCGAGCTGGAGGGGGAGAAATCTGATCTGATCCAGCAGTTGGGAGTGGAGAGGAGCGACCGGGTCCGGCATGCAGAGGAAGCGGTAGAATCCTTCAAGTCCTCTCCCGACTTCACGATGGTCGCGTTGGAGCGGATGGAAGAGCTAACAGCCGCTTGGCTCGAAACTGAACCTAGGGCTCAATGGATGGTCAAGGAGGGAACCAAATCCTTCAATTGTGGACTCTTCCGCGCCCAACAAGTCTTTCGCGACAGACTGGCCCAGCTCCCCAAAGGATTCTCTCTCCCCGACCTTGGCTTCCCTCCTCCCTGCCGCTCCTTGGCCGAGTTCGACCCCAGTCCTTATCTGGACGGGGGGAGCTCGAGTGCGTCGGAAGAAGAGGAAAAAGAAGAAGTGGAAGGTGGTCAGAGCGACCAGAATCCAGGGGCCAGCTTAGCCATGTCCAAAGCGGGTGGACCTTCCAGCTCGGCCGTCTAAATCCCCCATTGTTCCCCCCATAGCTTTACAAACACTTGCCTCTCTCTTTTCCTTCGGAAGGATTTGTAGTTTTGATACAATGCTCCTATGTTGTCTGATTTTCTAGATTCACCATGTGCTTTCTTTTTTTTGGCGCTTTACTTCAGCACTCCCTTTTTTTTGATTTAGCTGGTTAACATGTATGTTTTAGTTCGGGCCCAACTCCTAGTCCCAGCCCGTTCACCTGTCCAGGCCCAATCTCTGGATTGGCCAGCGTGCCGCCCAATTGACCCAATGCCCTTCACCGTTTCTGATTGGACCTTCGCGCGGCTCAATGCTGCTTTATTGGTTCAACTGCCTTGAGACTTGACCGTCTCTTCGGTTCCTTCGCCTTGGCTTATTTATAAGTCCCCCTGGCCTCTACTTTGCTCCATTACCAAATATCTTCCCTTCCTCCATCCTTGCCATGTCTGAAGGAATTCCTGTTTCTCTGAATCTTTCCGACGGGCCGCCTCCTTCTTCGCCGGAGCCTGCCTCCTCCCCCTAGTCAGTCAATTCCAATGACTGGGGGGGGGCTTGACCCTTACGAATTCTGTCGCCGGTTGCCTCGCCGGCAGTGGCCGTCGGTGAAACCGCCGCCACTACCTCCAAACCCTTATGAAGACTTTAGTGAGGCGTACAAGGCCCTCTCCGCCAACCGCCTTCCTGACGGGCGAATTGACTGGGATGCTCCATGCCTCCTCCATTCCTTGCAATGTATGGCCTGGGAGAGCTTTCAAGATGAACACTTACCCCTCCTGGAGCATGAGTGCGCATACTACGCAAGTCTTGAGCGATGGACTAGCGAAAGTCGCACCAGTTCGCCGGTGAGGCCTAAGGGGGAGGTTGTGTTGAGGGAAGAACTGGGTTCTTCCCTACCTCGCCCCACTTGCCACTCCCCTTCCCAGAAGACCCCTAGGCGACCTGGAGTAGCTCGGGCGGCTTCAGGATCTCCATCCTCGTCTAGGTGATGCTGGTTGGGGTTCACTGAGAAGTGAGCCATCCCCCGTCCTCCTGTGGTAGGAGAAGGGCGGTGGGTTTTTGCCGAGGCTGGGGGCGACCACTCCCGTTCCATGTTGGGGAAGAAAGGTGGTCGCCCTGGACGGCCGGTGATCGGAGTTTTGCCTGCCTATACAGTTGCAGAACTACCCTTCAAACCTGCCTGTCCCCCCTAGACCTTCACTCGCAAAGTCTTAGACTGTTGTTTTTCATTGTAAGAGATGTATGGGAAAGTATCCCTCCTTACGTAGAGATTGTTCTCAACTGTATTGTAGCAGATGCAAGAGATTATCCTTGAAATGTAATGATCATTTTTGTGAATGTATTTTGATGTTACCTGTTTACTTACAAGTTTCACCTTCTTCTCTTTCACATCCCACTTTAGACGTTCAGGTTTCCTCAGACTTGAATCAGAGAATACCTCGCCTCTTTTGGCTTAGCCATTTCCGGGTTGCTTTGACCCTTGTGGCGTCGCCATATTTCCAAGATCCCCTGGTCGCTCATGCGATCAACAGATCTTGTGTTCCGGACTTAGCCGTTTTCTCAGGCTTTCTTGCCACGGCGTCGTCTTCAACCTTGGTCGCTTGATAGGGTTCGACACTTCACCCACTAGTATCTTAGCACGGATCACCGTGCAGTTTTGGGCTTAGCGATCTCTTGTGGTCGCTCCTTTTCCCCCCTTTTTTTTGAGAATTGAAGACAAAATGTGCCAGAAAGCTGGTTTTATTAAACTTCAAGAAAGAGACATGGCTGGAATACAATCTATTGATAAAATTTGATAAGGTTGGCGGCATTCCATACTCGCGGAACGTCGCCACCGGTTGGAGTCTGCAATCTAAATGTCCCATCAGCCAATACCTCCTTTATGATATATGGCCCCTCGAAGCTTTTAGCAAACTTCCCTCCATCGGTCGGCCGACTGACCTCCCTTTTCCGAAGGACCCAGTCGCCCATCTTGAACTGCCTTGGTCGCACCCGCTGGTTGTGATATGACTTGACCTGCCGGCGGTAGTTTTCTGCCCGCATATATGCCCTTTCCCTTCGCTCATCAATGAGGTGCAGTTCTGCCCTCAGGTTCTCCTCATTTTCTTGAGCATCAAACGTCTCTACTCTATAACTTAACAACGAGGTCTCCGCTGGAGCCCTTGCTTCAAATCCATATATGAGCGAGAAAGGAGTTTCACCGGTGGCCTTCCTTGGGGTAGTTCTGTAGGTCCACAAAATATAGGGCAATTCTTCCACCCAAGCACTTTTGCATTCCATTATCTTCTTCTTGAGGCCGTCCATGATGGTGCGATTGGTGTTCTCAACCTGCCCATTGGTTTGGGGGTACCCAACCGCTGCATAGCTGTGTTTTATGCCCCAGCTCTGTAGAAACTCATTGAACCCTCCGGCCTTGAATTGGGTTCCGTTGTCAGTGATGATTTGCTAGAGCACCCCAAATCGGCACAAGATTTGCTTGGAAACAAATTTCGTCATCTGTTCCGCAGTGATGGTTGGCACGGGGGCGGCCTCGACCCACTTGGTGAAGTAGTCAATCGCGACCACCAGGTATGTGTTGTTCCCTGTCCCCCGAGGCAAAATACCGACCAGATCGATGCCCCACCGAGCAAAGGGAATCGCCGTGCTTATCGGGGTGTAATTCGTCGCCGGTTGCCCTGGCATCCTCTGGAACTCCTGGCAAACCTTGCATTTGCGCACGTACTCTGCGCAATCTCTGATAATCGTTGGCCAAAAGTATCCTTGTAGGGTCACCTTCCTGGACATCGTGAAGGCTCCCTGATGTGCTGAACATATTCCCTCATGGATTTCCTCCATTAACTTCTGTGCCTCGCCCGCTCTTAAGCACCTCAACAATGTACCATTGTACGATCACTTATACAGCCGACCGCACTCCAGCGTGTAGCTGGGTGCACGTCGTTTCACCACCTTTGCCGCGATTGGGTCGGTAGGTAGCGACCCGTCAAGGATGTACATGGTAATCTCATCAATCCAATCCGGCTCCTCTTTGAATGTGATGATCAGCACTTGTCCGGGACTGATGCTTGGCTCGAGCAACTCTTCTTCCTGGGTCATGGCCTTAATATGATCCGGGGAATCCGGACCAAGATTTGACAAGATATCTGCCTCAGCGTTCTCTTCCCGAGGAACCTACTCTATCCGGTACGCCCCAAATGCTTTGAGCAACTCCAGGGCAGTGTCTCTATACTTCTTCATCCGTTCATCCTTGGCCTCAAACTCTCCAGTGACATGGCCTACTACTAGCTTGGAATCGCACCGGACTTGGATTCGCTCAGCTTTTAATGAAGCTGCCAACCTCAAGCCACAAAGTAGCGCCTCATATTCAGCCTCATTGTTCGAGACTTTAAACCGGAACCTCACGGAGTAGTATGCCTTGAATCCTTTCGGTGATATCGCCACGACACCTCCCCCCGAAGCATCAGTCGCGGACGACCCATCGGTGTACACGGTCCACCAGTTCCCTTCGGGTTCTTCTCCACTAGACTCTACCTCTCTCGCAGTGCATTCTACCACGAAATCTGCTAACGCCTGCCCCTTTATCGCCGGTCGCGGCTTGAACTCTATCTGAAAGGATCCCAAGAACACCCCCCACTTGCTAACCCGTGACGGGGCATTTGGGCTTCGAAGAAGTGTTCCGATGGGGATTTGTGATAACACATGGACCGGATGGGATTGAAAATATGGGGTGAGCTTTTTCACCGTACATACCACCGCAAAGATGGTCTTCTCCATGTTGGTATATCTCAACTCCGCCCCTCGCAGCACTCGGGCCACATAGTACACAGGTCGCTGTGCGCCCTCCTCCTCCCTCACAAGCACCGAGCTCACAGCTCGAGGAGAGATTCCTAAGTATAGGAATAAGGTCTCTCCGGGCTCTGGCTTCGAAAGCACTAGTGGGGAGAGGAGATATGCTTTTAACCCCTCAAAAGACCGTTGACATTCCTCGGTCCAAACGAACCCTCTGCTCTTCTTAATGGTCTGAAAGAAAGGAGCCGCTCGATCAGCTATCCTTGATAAGAAACGACTGAGAGCAGTAATCCTGCCGGTGAGCTGTTGGACCTCCTTTACATTTCGCGGAGGCTCCATCTCCAAAATCGCCTTTACCTTTTCCGGGTTAGGCTCGATCCCTCTCCGGCTGACCATATGTCCTAGGAATTTACCCCCCTGAACCCCAAATGTGCATTTCTTGGGGTTAAGGCGAAGCTGGAACTTTTTCATGATCTTGAATACTCTCTCCAGGTCGCCGGCATGAGACTCCGTCCGTTTGGACTTGACGATCATGTCGTCCACATATGCTTCCATGCATCCCCTTAGCACTAGTGCAAATAGCTTGTTCACCATCCGTGCATAAGTAGCCCAGCGTTCTTCAAACCAAAGGGCATCACCTTGTAACAGTACACCCCATTGGGGGTAATGAAAGCGGTCTTCTCTTCATCCGCCACGGCCATCTTGATCTGATGGTATCCACTGAATGCGTCCATAAAACTCATCAGCTCACACCCTGCCGTCTCATCAACCACCTGATCAATGTTGGGGAGAGGAAAAGGATCCATCGGGCAGGATTTATTTAGATCAGTGTAATCAACGCACATCCGCCAGGTATTCCCTTTGGGTGCGAGGACTACATTTGCCAACCATTCCGGGTAGCGGACCTCCCGGATGTGCCCAATGGATTGTAGGGTGGTCACCTGCTTAGTGACAAACTCTCTCCGTTCCGAGGAAAGGAAACGCTTCTTCTGTTTGACCGGCTTGTGGGTCGGATCCACTGCCAATCTATGGCAGATGATTTTTGGGTCGACCCTCGGAGGACCTCCAATAACTGCTCCTTTAATTCAAGCGGTAAGGTTTTACCTACCTTCACCTTCCGCTCTGGCTCAACCGGGTCCAAAGATACTTCCTCGACCTCTTCCGCCGGCTCAGCTCGGGGTCGCCCCTCCTCCTTCTGGATTGCCGCACATATCGTGCTCACATTCTCGTCGACTCGGGCTTGGCTTTTGGTCGCCCTGACGTAGCACGACCGTGACAGGCTCTGGTTCCCCTTTGCTACTCCCACCCCTGTGGGAGTGTTGAACTTTAAGCATAAGTGGGCGGGGGAGATTACGCACTCTAAATCCTCCAACCCTGGTCGCCCCAGAATCAAATGGTGTGCACAGTCAAGCTGCACTACCATAAATTCCATGTCGATCCAGAGCCGGTGGGTGCCATCTCCTACCCCGGCCTTCATCGTGACAGTTCCTTCAGCCTCGATAGTATCCCCTGTAAACCCTGATAGCGGCGTATGGATTGGTTTCAGGTCACTTCGGGACAACCCCAACTCCTTAAAGGTGTTGCTGTACATTACGTTGACCGAGCTGCCCGTATCGACCAAGGTTCGGTGAACAACCACATTATTGATCTCCACTCTTATCACCAGAGCGTCCCTGTGAGGGCTGAGGACTTGGGGATAATCCTCGTCTGTAAAGATCAGAGGTTCCTTCTTCTTCCGCTTAGGCAGCGGCGGCCTTTGTACCTCGGCCAGGTACACCATGTTCTTCCACCTCTTCCGGGAGGATACCGAATCGCCTCCAGTGTTTCCTCCCATGATGAACCGACACCCCAGGTGTCGGCGACCTTGCCTCTCCTCCTCATCTAGGTCGTCACAATCTCGTCCTAGGTGCCGCCGTCCATCTTCTTGCCCCTCTCCTGCTGTGATCGCTGCCGTGGGGGCTGGCGGCCTCCTCCAGGTCCGGTTACTTGAGGACTGTCGCTCCGACCGAGGAGGTGGCCCTCTAGCGATCAACTGATCCATCTCCTTCTTCAACGTAACGCACTCCGACGTGTTATGGGTGCTGTTACGGTGGTACTCGCAGTATTTGGGCGCATCTTGCACACCATAGCTTTCCCGACCATGAGGAGGGGTCGGCAACGACTGTACCGCGTGAACAGGATGCCTGTTCGCATGATATCCGGTGGGGTTCGACCCCTTACCATAATCTTTCCTTTTCTTCCCTTCTGCCACCGGTGGCCCGCTTTTCTTTTCCTTCCAGACTGGTGGCTCATCATCATCTTCTTCTAGCGCCAGGTACTTCGCCCTGGCCAACATCTCTTGATAGGTCGAGAGAGGATTACGTCACAGCTCCTTACGCACATCCCCTTGGGGGAGTGCAGCTTGGAGCATGGCGATCAGGGCTTGGTCGTCCGCCCCTTGGACGTCCCTAGCCTCCTTCTCCCACCTATTAATGAACTCCCGGAGCTGTTCCCCCTTCCGGATCTTCACATTGAGCAAATGCGAGAAGGGGAGCTTTTGCCTCCGGCTGGATGCGAAGTGCTCTAAGAACTTGTTGGCCAGGTCGCTCCACTTATCTATCGACCCCTTGGGTAACTTGTGAAACCATTCACAAGCCTGCCCTTCCAGTGTCGCCAGGAAGCACCGACACTTGATTTCTTCTGGATATGCATACATGACCACGTTGGCCCCGAAGCGAGCGAGGTGGTCTTGGGGATCGGTCGTCCCGTTGTACGATAGGGGTTCTGGGCATCCAGCCGCTTCTCCAGTTGTTCGTACATTTTCCACAACTCGGCTGTGCCCTTATCCCCGACTGTCGTCCGTCGCTCCTCAGAACCGACCTTGGAGGTCGCTGTGGACTCCCCTCTCTTCTCCTTGAGCGTGTCTCTCAGGTCGCCTTTTCGGGCCGACCGAGTGTCCTGCAGCCGTTCGAACGCAGAGGTCCGAGGCTTCTTTGACTTGGGGTCTCCCAAACGGTCAAAAGCAGACATCCGCTCGAAGGAGGACGACTCGTCCTCTTCTTCCAGCCTGGAAAGCGCATCAGCCATCACAGCCTTCCCATTATGCTTGGTCGCCTTCTTCTTCTGGGACCGCCTTACTTTTTTCTTTTTTCCTTGGGAGCCTGCAGGTCCAGCCTTCCCGCCTGTGGGCCCCCCAGCCACATCTTCTACCACAACCTCGCGGTTGGGCACAAGTGCAGCCAGCACCTCCTAGAATTGTTCGGCCGTGATCCCAACCCTCTTAATGAGGGCCTCAGCCTCCCCGGTGGTGATGGGGGGGTGTCGGCCTCCGGTGGCGCTGTTCTCCCCCTGTTGGGGAACCCCGGTACCTACGTTGGCGTTGCTACGTGTTTGCACCATCGTCATTGTGGAGGATTTCTTCTGAGTATGATTCTCGAACTCTCAATGAGAGCACCAATTTGATGGACAATAAATCCACCCAATGATCCGATTCACAAAGCGGATCGTAAGAACAAAATTGAAAGCGAGAATTCGAGAATTGGGTATGTATTATTAGCTTGATTTAGCTTGAGTTCTCCTCTCTCGGGTCTCCTCTATTTATACATGAGCTATAAGCAATTAAGGTAACGCATAATCGATGGAATCTATCCCGCCAAGGGCGCGATCCCCTTTTCCCGGCTCCGTAACGGCCAATCTGCTCCGTCTCCTTCTCCGGATTGACTCTGCCAGCTGCGCTGGGCCTGAGGTTAACTAGGCCCAGCTTCATGGGCCGGCCCAAGCTTGAGTATTTCACAGGTGCTTGACCCAGAGTTGTGTAAACGGTTCATTTGGGCCGCCCACTGGATATCAGCCCATCACCACCAATCAAAGAATGCCTCGTCAGAGAGCATGCAGCCCAATCAAAATCACACCACCCAACATATTTTCGATTACTGTGTGCAGAGAGGAGAATATCATGTCCTGGCACCACTTCAAGTACCGAGCAACTCCAAGAGTAGCAGTCCACTTCGTAGTTCCTATAAAGTGCACAACGAAATATAGCTTTGGTCGAGTGACAGACAAATAAACCAGATGCCCCACTAGAGATCAATAAGATTCTCAATAATCAAGAACTAAGGGATGGGAAAGAGCCAAATGGTGATTCGCTCCATTGGTATTTTTAACAGGCTAGCTAACACCCAACAAACTGGTATCAGTGATGATATCTAAGGCAGACTTTCGTTGTCAATGATAGATCCTAGATGCATTTCGAGATACCGCAATGTCGAGGAAAAATTTCAGAATCCCAAGTCCTTCATATGAAAACAATCAACCAAATATAATTTGAATTTGACTATCAAGTCTGTAACACCCCACCCTGGATGACCCGAGTCATCCAGACCGGAGTGCTAGTGAAACTCAGTTTCATGGTAAAACATTACTTATTTAAAATAAATTTTCATTTCGATAATCAAGAGTTTAAAGATTTTGCGAGTATATAAAAGAGTAATAACGTTCATAATTTAAGTAAATACAACTTGGGGTTCATGCCCAAACCAAAATATGTTCAATAATTTATTCACGTCCACGGTTTCCTCCTCAAGAGCTGTTTCTTTGCTAGTACCTGCGTGCAGTTAAACACTACACGCTCAGCATAAGCTTAGTAGAAAATAACCAGTAGACATTGCAGACATATTTTGGGCATTTTAAGTTATTCAATTTAAAAAAAAATTTCGCATAATTAAAATCATTGAGGAAATAATCTCACTTTGAATAGTTACTTGGGGACATTTAGAAAACTCTTGATCTACCTAGGTTAATCACCGATTAGAGACTAAGTCGTAACTAGGCTGGAACCCCGCACTAGTCGTACGTAGTTTTACTTCAAATACCTCCCCATGACCTCGTGTCCGGTAATCGGAAGTGAACCCTAGACCCACGGGGTCATTGTTGGGTTCTCGTGCGCACGTTGTGGTATGATTATTTGTAGGCTCATCCATTTGGACACATACGATCCGGCCTTAAAATGTAATTGGATTTACATACTAGAGTGTGACAATACCTGGTCAGGGTACGTCGTTAAAATAAACTTTGAACCTTTACTTAGTCCACTAATTTGCTTGATTACTCTAGTAAAGTCGTTTACATAAACCAATTTTTACAACTTAATCATTCTCAAAAATACGATCTTGTCCCCCCTTTGTTTAATAAAACATCATGCTACAGTATAAATTCCTACACTCAAGTTTATAAATCAACATAGTAACATCTTTTGGGCGATAAAGTCACAGACGGTATTTAGTTATTTATTTATTCATTGTTCAAAAGTTTTGTTCTGTTAAAGAAAACACAACTAATTGTTCATTTGCTTCATCGTACTACAATTTTTTATTTAATTAATCTAATTTGGCAATAATATAAATATTTTATATATGTACGTGTCAAAAAAACATACACACAAATGTTTTTGAAATTGTTGTAGAGTCTCGCCGCAACAGAAAAATATCTCTCTACGAACAATTTAAATCAACTACACGACACACTTGTCACATAGAGACAAACAAAGTGCTGAAGAACTTCCTCTGTCACAATCAATCACACAAACAAGGAAGATAAAGCTAAGACAGTAAGCAAGACACATGAATTGTTTACGTAGTTTGGAGCAATTCTCCTACTCTGCAGGGCCACATCCGTGTAATAGCCCATCCACTAAATCACTGTAAAGATTACAACTTCAACCACCTTGGGTACCAACTAGTGGATTGAACTAATCTACTACAGATGATTTAAACACCTAACTCTGTTAGTGTTACACCCAATGGCTTATTACACCAACCTTGATAACTTCTGTTATTGGACATGCTATCAGCCCTTTCTCCAGCCCTTCCTAGTTCACCAGCTGGATACCGTTTCTACCAGAAACACTCATGAACGCCTAATACGATCTGTGCTCACAATAACACTATATGTCAGAAGGATCCCAGCAAGGTCCTTTCTGATCTCTCTTTGCTGCTAGGGTTCAGCCTCTCTCAATTTCTCGCTGGAATCTTATGCTCTGTGTCTCACCCTTTTCTTATTGTAAGGACCTATATATATGTGAACATATGAGAACCCTAGTCATGATCAGACTTGAACTCTTCAGGAAATAACATCCCTGGAGTTTGTAGGACTCTATGGAGAGCTTGTAGGAATCCTTCTCCAGCACGTAGAGGTAGACTCTATGAGATAGACTCCTAGTCATGCCAAGACAAGTATACGCCTCCTTGACACCATGACATGGTAGGACGCTACAAACCCAAACCATCTAGATAATACATACGAAAAACAACCATTCTTACTATTTGTTTTTGTCACAAGGATAAGGCCAACAAACAATAAACAATAAGGCCGAGACTCTCCCCCTTTGTAACTAACTACGTAGTATATAGAGTAACTAAAAATCTCCCCCTTTGGCCATCCTTTTGGACAAAAAAAATACTCTAGACTCTTTGGCCTGTTGAACCTCTTCTCCCCCTTTTTTGTTCAAAAATGAGCCAAAGTTTTTTCAAGATTGGGTGGGAATAGAGAAGAGTAACATTCAACACCTGAGCAAGAGAGGTACATAACACATTATAAAATTCAACACCTGAGCTGGAGGGTGTACCAACACCATGTCACAGAGATGCATAGAAAATATTTCAAACACTTTTATTTATCACAATAATATTTTTCATATCATAAACATTACAGAGTTTTCAATATTACGGAAGCTTTAAAAAATCATAACCACAAACATAATTTATTTATTTTCTTTAATTCAAAACCATCACATCCATTCCGACTATCTTGCCTCCGTCTACCTCTAGGATCACGTCACATCATTCTATTGACCTGCGTGTAGCAAATAAAACACACTACACGCTCATCGGTAAAGCTGAGTAAGCATATCTAATGCGTCGAACATTCATACAAACTGAATCTAAATTCATAATCAATCATTTGATATCATGTACATAATGTTCAGTTCAGATATTTAATAATCATTAGAAAATATTCATTATTCAACACTTATATTCATATTTGACGTTCATCAGTTATTCACAATATTCAATTCAATAATCATCATTCAATATTCATTCATGTTCAATATTCAACATTTGACAATATCCTTAAACTATTCTTAGTCTAAGGTCAATCACTTTAATATTGGTCAACCCTTAAATGAATTCTAGTTTAAATAGTTAAACTATATTCCAGTATGCAGAGTACTCCTAATAATCCTTAAGCTAGGCCTAGTTTAAGATAAAAGGGTTTTGGAAATCTTAATAACTTACCTTCACTTAAGGCCAACCAAAAACCAACACTGTAGTGTTCACTTCTGGGTGGGTGGTACCCCCAAACGAGTAGGTACTCAAGTTTGGTTCTTGGATCCCGTACGTATGTTTTAACCCTAGCCACCGGGCATCATACCCGCAAGGCCTAACTTAAATGGGTATATCTTAGAGGTCTTAGATACTCTTTCAAATCAATATTAATATGGGTATATCTTAGAGGTCTTCTAGATACCCTTAACAATACATATTATTTTCACAATCATCAATGTATTCATTATTATTTAATCATTCATAATTTCCATTTTTAATCAGAACATTTATCAAGGTTTAATCATCATAATCATCAACCAATAATTATTACCATAATCATTCATCAACATAATACTCAATAACAATTAGCGGCCTAGCTTCGGGTGTTAACACCCTAACTTACCGTCATGCATCACATAACATTTTTATTTGTTAAAAACATCACTTTTATTGTGATAAATCATTTTTTAATGATAATAATCAATTGGCATCAAAAATAGGATTTTAGAGCTCAAAAATAGCATTTTCAGACAAATATTCGGGTCAGAGTTTCGGAGGATCGATCCAGTTGTCTGGATTGATCAGACTATAAAATTCACTCCCAGAGGATCGATCCAATGAGGATGATCGATCCTCCCCGATGCATTTCAGCTACTGTTCATCTTCTTCAACCTCTCGGGTCCAATTTCGAAAATACCATTTTTGGTTAATGAACTTCGTAAAAACTATACAGAAATGTTCTCCAAGGTTCATGGGTCATTTTAGCATCATTAATTCATAGTTTTAACATCAATTTCATGGTTTATGATTCTTGGTTCTTCAAGCATGTCAAACACACAACTCAACCAAACGACCGTTTATGAACGTAGAAACGATCTATACGAACATTCTAATCACTAGATATATCAACGGGCTTACCTCGAAGCTTAATGGAGGTTTTGACGATATTCCGGCGAAACTTCCGGCGAGGTTTGTGGCTAACTCCGGCAACCCCCAACTCTCTGGACAACACCACTCTACTCTCCACACTCTTAGGGACAAAATGGAAGAAGAAATAGAAAGAATGGTGAAGAAATGGAGAATTGGGTTCTTTATATAGAAAAGGAGAAGAGAAGAAGACAGAGAAGATGAGCTACTGCTGCGTAGGATTCCCAATTCACGTTCTCATTCGGCGGAGATGTGATTTAATTTCTAGGTGATTCTGCACATTACTTCTCTGATTGGGACTAATTCGGTCCCAGTCGGGGTACATTTTTTGGTCCAACTTTCTCCGAATTGAAATTCGTTTGCACCGTTGCGATCGTACAATTAAACTCTATCCAATGATATATTTTTTTTATATTTATTCATTATACTTTTTCCGACATCATATTTTTTGGGTGGTTGACTTTGACAGAGTCAAAATTGATTTGTTTGACCTTTACTCAAAAAGGTGCTTATATTAAATTCATATTATTTATTTCCATGATTTATTTCAATAAATCATTTCAAAGTTCACATTATAAAACAATTTCTTCATTTATTCTTAATTTGGGTCTCTACACAAGTTTCCAATCAAGATCACACAAATAGTTAACTAATTGGATTTATCTCTATGAGATTTATCCTGCTTGTGATATTGGATATCAAAACACATTTTATTTTAGCCCAAAGCCTAACAATAATTTATTTTAATCAAAACAAATTTTGTTTAATTGAATATTTAATTCAATAAATTTTACGGTATATTTTGGGGCGTTACACCTCATGCATGGAATTTATCCATGCTTCTTCTGTCAGTGCTTCTTTGATATTTTTAGGCTCTACTGATGATGTATAGTATGCTTTTGTCATCTCAAGAAAGTCAATCTTCTTCTTTCGTGTCTTCATCCCTTCAGTTGGTGACCCTATGATGTTCTCTAGAGGATGGTTTTTCGGAAAGTGTGTGGGAACACTGCTTGTTATGGGGCAGTCACTTTGGTTTTCTTCAAGATCATCTTTCTCAATTTCTTCATGCCCAGTGTCTTCTTTAGGTGTTTTATCAGAGGTATCTACCTCTAGTGAATCATCTACTGTCTTTGGCTGGAGCTGGTCATCTACCACAACATTTATTGACTCCATTATAGTTCTTGTTTGTTTGTTGTACACTCGATATGCCTTGCTGTTTGGTGAGTATCCAACAAAGATGGCATCATCGCTCTTTGGCTCAAACATCCCCTTCTGTTCTCGGTCTCTTAGGATGTAACATCTTCCTCTTAAAATGTGATAGTTGGCTATGCTTGCTGCTCTTCCTTTCCAGAGCTCATACGGTGTAGCCATTGTTCCACTTTTGAAGTATACATGGTTTATTGTGTAACATGCTGTATGGACTACTTCAGCCCATAGACTTTGTGGTAGTCCATGTGTGCTGATCATTGTGCGTGCCATTTCTTGAACATGACAGTTTTTCCTTTCTGCCACCCCGTTCTGTTGTGGAGTTTTTGGTGCTGAGAACTCGTGCAAGATGCCATGCAGATCACAAAATTTCTCGAAACGCCCATTCTCCAACTCCCATCCATGATCACTACATATTCTAATGGCCTTTTTAATTTTTAGTTGCTTCTCATTCTAGACTTTGTTGCACAGTGCTTCAAAGGCATCTAGTATGTCATCTTTGTGTTTTAAAAAACTGACCCACGTATACCTTGTGAAGTCATCCACAACCATGAGAACAAACCTTTTACCACCTAGGCTTTCCGTTTGCATGGGACCAAATAGATCAATATGTAGGAGCTCCAAAGGGTGACTTGTTGACCTCGTAGGTTTCTTAGGGTGGCTTGTTCGCGTCTGTTTTCCCATTTGACATGGTTCACATACTTGCTCACTATTTTGAGTGATTTTTGGCATTCCTCAAACCGCTCCAAAGCTTGACAAGGTCTTTAGATCCTTGTAGTTCATATGCCCGAGTCTATAGTGCCACAACTTAGCATCCCTCTCACTATCTGTGTAACAGAGAATATTTAGAGTGACTCCGTACCAGTTGTCTGTGGTTCTGTCCCCTTCCAAGACAACAAGTTTGTTTTTGTCCTTGATATGACACTTTTGTTGAGTGAACATCACTTCAAGTCCTTGGTCGCATATTTGACTGATGCTTAACAAATTTACTTGCAGTCCTTGAACTAACCATACGTTTTTTATTGGTGGTATCCCTAAGACGTGCAGTGTCCCATTCCCGATGATCTGTCCATGTGCACCACCGTCAAAACGTACATTTCCTTCTTCTATGGATTAAATGTTTGATAAGTTTTGTTTGTCTCTAGTTATGTGGTGAGAAAACCCACTATCAAGTAGCCATTGATCTAGTGTCACTCGAAGGCATGAGTTGGTGCTTGAGGCTAAGTGTTTTGGTATCCACTTCATCACAGTTTTGGTGAACCCCTTTGCCGTACCCCTCTTCATCTTTTTGTACTTCAGCTGGTGACACTGTCTGCTTATATGTCCCTTTTTCATGCAGTAGAAACAAACATAATTCCAGTAATAATTAGAGAGGGAGTGTTTCCTTACATGATTGTGAGTAGGCTGGACCATTTCCTTCTTATATCTATTGTATTCTTCCAGTTCTTCATCAGCAATCTTTGATCTTTTTACAAACAGATCGAGTGGTGTTTTATTGCTCTCTGGTAGTGTATGTCCAATGCCAGTTTTGTCTCCATAAAGCCTTGACTTGTCTCCCAGTTTTTCAATCTGTTCTGCACCTGCGCTCTTCATCCACTTTTGATAGCTTTTCAGTTGAGTGAGTTCATAGTTTAGATTTGCCCTTTCCCCTTCAACCTGTTCCAGCTATCGCATGGTTTCATCAAGTTTTCTGCATAGACTGTCCACTGCCACAAGTTGATTAGTAAGGTTGTCTGGATCTTCATTATCAATTTGGGTGGTGAATGCATAGTTGATGTTCCCTACACTACTACAGAATGTGTATTTAATAGCACATTTTACAGAGCGGATTATAAAAAACCGCTGTCTTTTGTTTTGAGTAAAAAGGCGCGCATCCAAAAAAACCGCGCACACTTAATTTTTTCATAATTTTTATCCGGAATACTTTGCCCAGCCCATTAAAAAATATCCGCTGCTTATTGCCGATCCCTAAATTATCACCGCTGGCTGCTTATTGCCGATCCCTAAATTATCATCGCTGGTTATTACAGACGACGCCTCCCTCCATCCCACAGATTGACGCCATCTGGCTGTAGCTATCATCCTATTGCTGCCAGCCTATTTCCAGATCACGACGTTGGTGTAATTGGTGTCCTTGCGCGAGAATCACCTATCTTCTGCAAATTTTCTTTCTCAATCCCAAAAGCCTTTGGCTAGAAATTAAGGTTAGTTATGTTCTATTTTCTTTATGTTTAATGCGAATTTGTTTTCTCAATCCTCTCTTCTTTGTTGAATCTTCTCTATGGCACAAAACACTTTAGAGTCTGTTGTTTGAGGCCTTAGTTCGGTTATTGGGGTTTGGATAGCATATTCTCGTTCTGAACCTACAATCTTGACCCGGAATTGGATATCCAGATAATTTGATACAAATTTTCACCTTTTCTTGTTCAAATAAACAGTATATCGAACTGCTCAAAAGACATGTGATTTCACAGTCTAGCCAGAGACTTCATGGTCCAACTTCTGGTTGGTATCAATGTGAGGATTATCCCCTCTGCATCTGTATTACATCCTTTCCTAGAGTATTGAGGATTCATCGCATATGCATTTAGGCTCAATACAATAATTAGAGCCCAATGCAACAACATAGCATACCGTCGGGTCGGGGGCGACTCTGCCCCCCGGACCCCCAGGCAAGGGGGCGTCGCCCCCCTTGACCCCCTGGCTCACTGACCGGGCAGCAAGACCACCGTTTACTAATCTGTGTAGGGAAAAAAGTTATGTTAGTAGTGAGTCCTTTAATCTATTTTTATATGAGTACTCGACTTCATAGTTTCATCAAGCGTGAATGTTCTTTTGAATTCATCTGCTACGCAAATTCTATATTAAAAGCAAGTTTCTATAACTTTAAAAAATTGAAAATGAACTAAATTTGAATGAAATATGTGTTCATGTTTTTTAATAATGCACATCAGGCCCTAATTCTGCCTATGCCCTTTGTGATATGCTTCAGAATATCACAAAACTAGAAGAAATAATGTTGCAGTAGATTAACATGGTTAAATAATCACAAAACTATTACATTTTCTTATTAAATCACACGAGATCATAACAACATCAAATTAACTTAGATATTAATAAAATCTTATCTGATCCGAATAAATCAGACGAAGAGAATAAACTCTTAGTCATTATTTTTTAAGAAAAAATGACTCTAAATGGGATTAAAACATAGATAAAGTACCAAAATAGGAGTAGGGTTTCGTTGACACTGAGCAACGGTACCCCTAACTCATCCCCTAATTAAACACCCCAAACTGGTCCCACCCTACCCCCACCCCCGCCTTAAGCTCCACTTCCATTTTTATTTTGTGAAAAAAAGCAAGGTGAGGACCACCTATGTAAACTTAAAGAGAAAGCAACTAATTAAGAATAAGACCCTTTGATAGCCAACTAATTAAAGCTTATAATGATTTGTGATTTCTAACTTTAATTTGTATTATTTAGGCCGGTTTCGTTCAATTATCATGGATAAAAGTTGGATAACAGCTAATCGAACTAGTCTTGAGTATGTGGAAATGTAACGACCCGAAAACCGGCTTAGTAGTTAGTCGTTATTTTTAATAAAAATAAACATAATATTCATTTACTCTAAAATATGAATTATTTGTAAAGTTATCCGTTTTAAATGAAAATTGGGTTTTCGGATAGGTCTCGTGAAATGGTGACCAACGATATATAATTTGTTAAATTTGGACATACGTGTAAGCGTGATGAGTAAAATAGACATTACAATTCAATAAATAAATATTAGTATTTTATAATAAAATAATAATAAATCTATATAATACTCTTAATGCTACCCGTAGAAGGATTCCCAAATCCCAAACCCATTCCAAATTAGAAAAGGACTCCCTATACTATATATATACACGCACGCCACACAAAAAGGAAAAAAAAAAGAAAAGAAAAGAACAGACCCTACGCCGAAGAGAGAAAAGAGAAGGGAGCAGAGCTGCTGTCCGATCGCCAGGAACAAGGTTGTCGCCGCCGCCACTCCAGCATTGCTGCTCCGCCGTCACCAGGAAGTTGACCGACGTCGCTGCTTCGCCGTCACCGGAAAACAGCCCCGCCACTGTTAGCTTTGTCATTGGTTCAATTCGTCAATTTGTTTTAATTCGTCAATTAATCGAGGTCTGAACTTGCACATCTAACGCTAGATTATGTGTATAGATTTGAAATTCACGTTCGTAGTTTCGTATGATTGATTACGTGGTTTATTGTTTATAATTGAATTGTGATTTATTTATATCTTATGATAATATTGGAATTGATTGAACGATGAAGACGAGGTACGTATTTTTACTCTAAATTGTGTGATTTGCATGATAATAATCTTTAAAAACGTTGTACATATTGTATGGTTTGGAATTGGATCAAAATCTGTCGTTCCGGTGACTTCCCGACGTCAGACGGTAGCTTGGTACCGCCTAGCGGTACCGTGCTACCGCCACTGAAGGTTGCCACTGCCGGTACCTGCGCCCGCACGGTACGGGGGTACCGGACCGACGGTACCAAGGTACCGCCTGGCGGTACCGAGGTACCGTAAGGGGTACCGGACCGACAGACTGTTCGATCGATTCTTCGTCTGTTCGTTCTGTTTCAACTTCTGGATTGTTCCCTATGCTTTGTGTGTTGCATGACGGTAAACATGGGTAGCAATATCCAGTGTTAGGCCGCTAATTGAGTGTATTGGATGTGATGAAATATGTGTAAGATGTATGAACATGTATGCTAAAAACTAATGACGATTGAAGCATGAAATACCTAGAACAAACCTAGGATCAGACCTGAAGGGAAATAATGGCAAGACATGGCATAAGTTAGAAAGTTAGAGTCATGTGGTACCTGCTGGGTCCAATGACTGTCCGGGTAAAAACATGTACACGGGGATCTAAGAACTGTCGTTCCGAAGGGGACAGGGATCTCACCCACCCAACGAGGAACTCCCGAGTTGGTTGAGTTTGACCTTCGTTCCGAAGGGGAAGGTCATGACTCCATAGGCAAGTCGTATTCAGTTAAGCTTTTACCTAGCCTAGGTTAAGAGCCGGGCACCGAAAGAACGTAGGGTAGGGGATAGTGGAGAAGTTACCATTGTATCCTTGTGATTTGTAATTCTTTAATGATGAAGTTTATTACAACTGTTACATTGTGTATGTGGCTTGAATATGTTGAACTTGTGTGCATGATATTGTATGAAGTTTTGAGCTAGTGGGTTCGTCTATGTGCGTAGTTGAACGTTAGATAGATTCCACACAGCTTCGTTGCTGAGCGTGTAACCCTTTTTTCTATTTGCTACACGTAGGTAATAGGAAGGATGAATAATGATACGGTCTTGGAGGCAGCGAGGGCGAAGAGATGGATGGATGCTGGCTGGAGGAGTTTATTATTTAATATATAAGTTTGAATTATTATATTTTTAAGGGCAAGAACCCAAAGTTGTATTTTGATTAAATACTTAAAGGCTTCCGCACCGTTTTGATTTACTCTGATGGATATTTAAATATTGTTTTGAATTAAATGTTTTAAATTGTTTTAGGAAATTATTGTGTTTGAATGCCAATTTAGTAGCAACCCCATCCGCTGGTCTTTGTATTCGGGTCACGCGGGTTGGGGTGTTACAGGAAGGGGTTAAAAGTTTTATACAGTTTGCAGAGATGAATGCTCTTACACTTGAAGGGAAGTTCTATTGTCCATGTAGACATGGTATGAATGTGTGGACTTGTAATGCTTCTGATATGCTTGATCATTTAATATGCAATGGGTTTAATGAGGCGTATACAGAATGGATATGGCACGGGGAAGTGCAAGATCCTACTACGTACAAGGATGACATGTGTGATGAAAAAGAAGATGAAGATCGGTTAGGGGATATGTTTTGTGATGTTAGGGAAGAATTCATTGATCGACCAGAGGAGTTGACCAAAATGTTAAGTGATGCAGAAAAATCTTTATGGCCTGGATGCACAAAGTACACACGATTATCTGCGGTATTGAAGTTATTTAATTTAAAGGCAAAGAATGGGTGGAGCGATAAGAGTTTTACTGCCTTGAGATATTGAAAGACATTCTTCCGGAAGGTAATGAATTACCAACATCTACATATGAGGCAAAGAAGGCCATGTGCCCTATGGGTATGGATTATCAAAAAATTCATGCTTGTGTTAATGATTGTATATTGTTTCGAAATGAATATGAAGGGTTACAAGCTTGTCCTAAATGTGGGGCTTCTCGTTATAATAAAAGGAATAATTCTGGTGATGATCTAGCAGCAAAAGGATCACCCGCCAAAGTTTTGTGGTATTTACCAATTATTCCAAGATTTAAACGCATGTTTGCTAATCCAAGCGATGTAGAAAATCTAATATGGCATGCAGAACAACGTTGTTGTGATGGGAAGCTTCAACACCCAGCTGATTCACCTCAGTGGAAACATATTGATGATTCATTTCCTGAATTTGGCAATGAACCAAGAAATCTTAGACTTGGGCTATGTACTGATGGAATAAACCCGCATGGCAACTTGAGTAGCAAACATAGCTCATGGCCTGTTCTATTGGTTATTTATAATCTACCTCCTGCAATGTGCATGAAACGCAAGTACATAATGTTATGTTTGATGATTTCTGGGCCAAAGCAGCCGGGGAATGATATAGATGTCTTTCTAGCACCAATGATTGAAGATTTGCAAAAAATGTGGTATGAAGGTGTGAAGGTCTTTGATGCGTTTCGTAGGGAGACCTTTTCGCTGAGGGCCATGATATTCTGCACAATTAATGATTTCCCCGAATATGGGAATTTGCCTGATATTCTGTTAAAGGACACAAAGCATGCCCGATATGTGCAGATGGTAGATGTTATCACCAATTGGAGAATGGGAGGAAAACAGTTTACATGGGTCATCGAAGGTTTCTTAATAGAACACATCCTTATCAGAGACATAAGAAGAATTTCAATGGATTACCAGAGTTTGGAGATGCTCCCAAATCAGTAACCGGAGATGAAGTCTATGAGCAAGTCAAAAATATAAATGTGACATTTGGAAAGACACAAAAACCATTGCAAAAGAGCACCTGGAAAAAGAAATCTATATTCTTTGATCTTCCATATTGGAGGCTATTATTTGTGCGACATAGTATTGATGTGATGCACGTGGAGAAAAATGTGTGTGATAGTCTTATTGGTACTCTTCTAGATATTAAGGGTAAGACTAAAGATGGACTAAATGCAAGGTTGGATTTGGTCCAAATGGGTTTACGAGCTGAATTGGCTCCCGAGTCTAAGGGAAAAAGAACATATTTGCCTCCTGCGCAACATACTTTGTCCAGAATGGAAAAAAGAAGTTTTTGCGAATGCTTAAGTGTTGTGAAGGTGCCACAGTGGTATTCTTAAAACATCAAATCACTTGTTAGTGTTAAAGATCTAAAGTTGATTGGATTAAAGTCTCATGATTGTCATGTACTTATGCAACAATTTTCTACCAGTGGCAATACGAAATATATTGCCTACAAAATTGAGACACACTATTATAAGGTTGTGTTTCTTCTTTAATGCAATATGTGCAAAAGTTATTGATCCAAATGAACTTGATGCTTTGGAGAATGAAATTATTATGACAATGTGTCAGCTAGAGATTTACTTTCCTCCTTCCTTTTTTGATATCATGGTGCATTTAATGGTGCATTTGGTGAGAGAGATTAGATTATGCGGGCCTGCTTACTTGAGATATATGTATCCATTTGAGCGTTTCATGAAAGTTTTGAAGGGGTATGTGAGGAACCAATACCGGCCCGAAGCGTGTATTGTTGAAAACTACATTTCAGAAGAGGTCATTGATTTTTGTAGTGATTAGTTAAAGGGAGTTGATTCCATTGGTCTTCCGAAGTATCGACATGAAAATAGAAGCGAAGGACAGGGCACTCGCGGATTGAAAGTTTTGGCTTTAAATCGGGAAGATGTTTTCCAAGCTCATCTCTACATCTTAAACAACACACCCGAAATAGAACCATATTTAGCTATGCACAAAGACTTAGTGAGGAAACAAAATCAACGAAAGTCTGATATGTGGGTGATAATAGAACATAATCGTTCTTTTGCTGATTGGTTTGCAAATAAAGTACAGAGTGATACTAATGTTTTTGAGAAAGTTCGATGGTTAGCAGCTGGACCAAACTTGCAAGTTTGGTGCTACACAGGATACGACATCAATGGGTTTTTATTCTACACAAAGTCAGAGGATGAGAAGAGTACTGTGCAAAATAGTGGTGTGTCTGTGAGTAGTTGGGCAATGCACTTTAGTAGTTCAAAGGATTAAAATCCAATTTGGGCAGAATCAACATATTATGGTGTGATTGAGGAAATTTGGGAGATTGATTATATAATGCAAAAGATTCCAGTTTTTTTGTGTCGTTGGGTTGATAGTCAACATGGAAAAACAACAGATGACTTAGGATTCACACTGGTTGATTTACATAGGGAAGGGCATAAAGAAGAGCGTTTCATAATGGCGACTCAAGCAAAACAAGTTTTTTATGTTTCAGACCCTTGTGATAAAAATTGGTCCATTGTTCTTAATGGTAAAAGACACATTATTAGTGATGATGGCGAAAATATATATTATGCCATTGATGAGATTCCACCATTCACTTCAAGAATACCATCGACTGATTTAGAAAGTGAGGTAGATGGAATGCTTGCTACACGAGATGACCATCATGAAGGAATTTGGGAGCAATAATTACTAATGTGTTCTTTGATGTTGTTTGTAAGCTTTGTTTCTAATTAATATCGTATATGCAATATACTAACAATGTTTTATTATTGTATATTACTTCAAAGGTGTTAATGCTAATAATTTTTGTTTTATATTTATGTAGGTACAATACAATGGAATCCCAACAAGATGAAGAAACTAGTGCTCACAACTCTCACAGTACTGAACCAGAAGGAAACAAGAACATTTTTAGGAAGAGAGGCCCTACTTATATGATATCATTTCAACAAAAGATTGATAGCGGTCGTGCACCACCTCCTAAAATACACTTTGATAAATATGGACGACCAACTGGAGAAGAGGAAGACGTCGCTAGTTTTGAGAGTTTTTTGGGAATGCTATCTAAGACAAGAGTGGAGATCACATTAAGAAGTTGGAAAGACTATCCAGAACCAAGAAGGGAGCTTTTGTGGCAACATACATTGGTATTAATATTTACTCTTTATGAAATGTCCTATATTATTACTATTATCATTATCAACCATTGCATGTATATTCTCTTACATTTTTAGAAAAGGTTTGATATTGTGAATCCTAACAGCAAAGCCAGGGAAAATACCTTACAGGATATTGCAGATAATGCTCGAAATTTTAGAGCAGAGCTTGTAGGGTATACCTGAATCCATTGAGTAAAAAATATGGAAAGTTTCCTGGTGATGAGTATAAGGAGATAACATTGCAGGTGTGGGATGAATTTGTTCGTATACGTCAAACTAAAGAGTTTCACGTTTGAAATTATTGCTTAGCCATATATTGTTCGTAATGAGTTTACAGGAAATGTATGCTTTTGGTTTTGATACAAGAGTATTTTCTTTTTTTCTTAAGATTAACAAATAGAATACCCATGTATCAAATGAAACAATACATTTCATTTTTTACTTTCATCAAATGTGTATAGGCGTTGAGGGAAAAAAACAAACAGAATGATTTAAAACACAAGCACCCACAACGTGGACGTGGAGGGTATAGACTCGTGAAGAAGAAAATTAAAAAAGAAAAGTTATTACAGATGCAGTTAGATCTAAATGATCCTGGATATGCGATTGACCCTCCATCACCTCCTCGCCATGAGGTTTGGATGAGAGCACGCCAAGATGAGAAAGGAGCTTATTTATCAGAAGAGACGACAGAAATAGCTACAATAATTGTAAGTTCCTTTTTACGGTTGGAATTTGTGTTATTTCATTTCTAAACTAAGAACTTGTGGCATTCACTACAATTGTTTTTTGACATAATTTTTGTAGTCACAATACTCAGAAGAATATGCACGTGGGGAATTTGTAGTAAAAGGCAAAGCAGATATCTTGGCAGCTGCTCTACATAATCCAGAGCACCCTGGTCGTGTTAGAGGTGAGCAAGGAAAGGTTGGTTGGAAAGATAACTTTGGACGTAGTAAATGTTTGGATGCTGAAATCTCAAAAAAAGAATTTGAGGACCTTAACAAGAAGTTGAAGCAGATGGAAGCTGACAGAGAAAATGGGCATGAAAAGTACATATCAGATTTTGAATCTATAAGAGCTGAAATGCGAGCAGAGCTAAAAGCTAGAGATGATGTCTTAATGAAGCTATTGGGACAAATGACTGGCACTTTACCAAATGATGATCGACATGTGGAAACATCAGTGGGCCATAATGTTCATATGGATATCCCTCCTGAATCAACTAGACAGTTTGAGAACATGCCACCAGTAACACCCATATTATAAAATTTATTTTTCATTTTTAGTTGCACTATATTGAGAATAATTAAATGAATTGAAATTGTGATTTAATTATGCTCCATTTTCACATATGTGTAAACACTTTATTTGCTTATATATGTTGCAGGTTATCTTATCTTCAACTAAAAGGATCAGACCGACGCAATTAGATGACAAGGTAAATTCAGTAGCTTCAAAGCCCATGCTCATGAAAATTCAAAGCTCTAAGATCCAAAGAGAGGAAACAAATCAAAAAAAGGCTGCCCAGAGTCGCCCAAGTAGTAATGGTGCATTTGAGAGCATACCACCGGTAAAACCCATTTTTAAAATTTATTCTACATTTTTAGTTGCACTATATTGAGAATAATTAAATGAATTGAAATTGTGATTTAATTATGCTCCATTTTCACATATGTGCAAAGACTTCATTTGTTAATATATTTTTTGCAGATTCTCTTATCTTCACCAAAAAAGATCAAACGAACCCAATTAGATGACAAGGTGTATTCTGAAGCTTCAAATTCCATGCTAATGAAAAGTCAAAGCTCTAAGATTCAAAGAGAGGAAACAGATCAAAAAAGGCAGCCCAGAGTCGTCCAAGTATTAATGGTGCATTTGATAGCATACCACTGGTAACCCCCCAAATTTAATGATTTCTTCTTTATTTTTTGTTGCATTACTTTTTTTAATAAAATTTAATGAATTTAAATTATAAATGCTCAGTTAGGAGTATGTTGCAAGCTATACTTAAACCTTCCTACGAGGCGTCTGGTTGCTCATGCAAAAGTGTTTGGACAAGGCGTATTGCTACATGGCAAACCACTAAAAAAGGCACAAGCAAGGGTGTGTGTAGGAGATAAAAATCTTGGGTGAGGAAAATTCAACGGTACCATATGTGACTGATGAAGTTCAAGTTTTATCTTCAACGATCGGTACCTATATTGCTTGGCCAAAAACTTTTATTGAGATTGAGGAGACTTCTGAGGTATGACTTTAGAGAAAATTTGATTAAGATTGGTACCTAATCACTTTAGAGAATTTGATAGAGATTGGCCAAAAACTTTAATTGCCTATTTTGAGCCATTACGGATGAGGTTTAAACTTCCAATTCTATCAATTGGCTTACACGCTCAATCATTTCATAAAGTAAAGAGGTTTAATAATAAATGTAGAGAAGAACTCAAATGTCTAGTATATAACTTGATTTAATTAGTTAATGGTGGTTGAATTCATGTATTAGTGTGCTTGAAACTAATGAATAGATTATTAGTTTGCATGCCACTAGTCTATACACATTCATCTTCATATTAGTGTCTCTAAATTGTGATGTGATTATGCTCCATGTTCAATTGTACATACTTATGTTTGCTGTTAAAATTTATTAGATGCGCTTATCTTCAAACCAAAAGAATACGAAAGCATCCAAAGCAAAAATGGAGAAAATACATGAAAAGAAGGCAACCGAAACTTTTGCAAAACGAAAAGGGAACCAAATGATTAAGGCATCCAAACGAAAGGAAGAAAGTGCAATGCCTATATGTGATAGCTTTGGGCCTTTTACATGGGATGAACACATGAAAACTGCCTATCACATTATAGATGCTACTCAAAAAGAGCCAATGGTTCACATCACTAGTGATATTATGCGACATGAGATTTACTTTTTCATCTCTAAAGATGATATAAAAGATCTCATGGAAATGAAGGCTTTAAATGTTTCGATTCTTCAATATTGGATGTGGTATGTAGAGAGTGATCCCCTGCATTTAATAATTAAATTTTAAATGAGTTGAGATATTGGATTGATAGAAATATTTATAAGTATTTAATTGATTTTTATTTTGTCCAGGGTTCTTTATGATCAGTTCGAGTTATGTGGAAAAAACACATATCGATTTCTAGATCCTGGAGAGATTTCTGTAAAGAGTCACAATGGTGAGAGTATTCTTGAAATCAATAACAATCGCATCCGTTATGTTGAAAATACCTTGAAGGGTGACTCTATAGAATGTTGGTTGGCACCCTATGACGCAGGGTAAGTGCGTAAAAGTAGAAATGCAATCTCTTTCCAATAATGTCATATTTTTTACTAATATTTTAAATTATGTTCGTAGGTCACATTGGATGTTGTGTGCAATTGTTCCAAAATACGCAACTATTTATTGCTTTGATTCGGTTCAGGATGCCGAATGTCGCAAAGTTGATCTCAAACATATAATAAACTCGTAAGCAAATGATAGAACAACTTTTAATGCAAAGTGTTAAAAACATTCTAATACTGATGTTATATTTATAATGTTAAAGGGCATTTTTCAACTTAAAGTACCAAGGCAAATCACATTACGTACAGCCTCGGAAGGGTCACCCAAGGTGGATAGATGTGAAAGTATGTTATTTGTTTTTCGTGAAGCATGGGTAAGGTAAATATTGATGTTTGCTATTTTATAGTGTTGTACACAGGACAAACAAGTTGAAGGTGGTTATTTTGTGATGAGGATGATGTATGATATCATGGTCCGAGCAACATTACCTTGTATTGATAAAGTAAAGTCACTATTATATTTAGTGTTTTTTAATTTCTGCAAAAAAATTAATTGAATGCTATGTTATTAATGTAATTTTATTAAATATTGATAGAGTTTTGGCAACGATGCATCACCTTTTCAAAGGCAGGACATCAATGAAATAAGATCAATGTTTTGTGCTCCCTTGAATTCAAAATATAATGAGCTCATTCAATATACTCTAGAAGATATACGATCAGTATTCGGATTCACTAACTGAAAGGCAATTTGAATTGATGATGTTCTTCTCATGGCAGGTATGTTTTCCGATTAAATTATATACGGACTATTTGTTTGACATGTAAATTACAGAAAATTCTTAGCTAGGTAGTTGTAGACCTGTAGTCATGTTCCATTGCATAAACATGAACATTAAAATCAACCATTGTGATTGAATTTGTCCATGGCTAAATTCATGTAGTACTATACTCTATATTCCAAATCTTGGCACCAGTAAAGAACTATCTAAATTGCCTGCTACCTTTCTTGGATTTGTTGATCCTTCTAAAATGCACAGTTCTTGAAATTTTAGCCATTTCTCCAAGTATTTCTTAGTGGTGTAAGAATAATGTTTGATTTGATTTGATATTGGTAGAATTGTTTGTTGAATAAATGTTTAATTTCACATTTGAATTCATTTTGTTCGAAAATACTTTGGTGAAGTGGTTATTTATTTGATACTTGTTTGATCATAAATGGAGGGAGATCATGTATTTGTTGTCATATTGCAGGTGTATTCAAAAGCTGGTTTTGAACACTCTTCTAAGGCAGAAAAAATCAGGGACTGACTTGATCGAAGTTTAGAGGATGCATGACTTTGTGTTGTAGCTAACTTTTTGTTGCAATATGGAGTGCAAGATCAAGATTTGGTTTGCTACACATAATGATAATTCTTGAGATAATATTATTTTTGGATGTTTTTTGGTATGCAATATTAAGTAGAAGATTTTATTGGATATTTTATTAGTTATCAAGTTTTAGTATATCACATTATGATTTAAATAAAGTATGTATGGAATTTGAAAAGGTTACTATTCTTACACAACATACATTTATGTTTTTACATAGCGGATATATCCGTTATATAAAGTATTTGGCGTTGTTAATCTCCCCTTACATAGTGGATAAATATCCGATGTGCAAAACAAAATATTTTTTCAGCCCCCATTCACAGCGGATAAAAATCCGCTGTTATACTTGCAACCATTACACAGCGGATATTTATCCGCTGTGTAATCATGAGGATTTTTTCATAGCCAATACACAGCGGATAAAAATCTGCTGTTATACTTGCAACCATTACACAGCGGATATTTATCCGCTGTGTAATCATGAGGATTTTTTCATAGCCAATACACAGCGGATATTTATCCGATGTGTAACATAAAACTTTTCCCACCGGCCAGATACATAGCGGTTGGTTTCCGCTGGGAAAGGTCAAATTTATCCGCTGTGTATTCCTTGTTCTGTATTCGTGCTAGAACTTCCTCAGAGTCATTTTCTTCGTCGCTCCAGGTTGATACAAAAGCCTGTCGTTTCTTTTTGAGGTAATTTGCACATTCTGATTGAATGTGACCAAACCCCCCACATTCAAAGCATTGAGGTCCTCTTCATCTAGAGTCATCAGTTGGTGACCTGCCCTCCTTTGGCCTTGGATTCTTAAACTAAAATCCCTTTGAGGATTCAGCTTGATAGTTCGTTCTTCCTTTCTTTTGCATCCATTGCTTCTTGAACTGCTTGGTGATGAGAGATAGTTGCTCTTGATAATCCCCATCTGACGGAATATCCCCATCTGACGGAATCTCATCATCATCATCTTCTTCTTTTGTTTTATTTCTTTGTTCATTTGAAGCTCAATGGTCTCAAGATTTCCCATCAGTTGATCCACTATTATGTTTTTTATGTTATGCGCTTGGCGAATTGCTTTGGCATCCATTGCGTAACTTTTTGGCAAAGCTCCCAGTACCTTCAGCACTAAGCTGTGTTTCGTAAAGGGCCTTTTCAAATTTTCAGCCTCATTTACAAGTTCTCTCACTCTCGTATGAAACTCTGCTATTTTTTCTTTATCGTCCATGCGTAGGTTCTTATATTTGGTCATGAGAATCTGGAGTTTAGCTATTTTTACCCGTTCATCTCCTTTGTGAGTAGTTTCGAGAATCTCCCAAGCCTTCTTTGCTTCAGTGCATTTTTAAATAAGTCGATACTTTGATCTTTCAACGGCTCCAAATAGTGCATTGAGTGCTCTGTCATTGCATTCAGCTAGGGATTCTTCCTCCCTTGAGTATTTTTCAAAGATTTTAGCCACCTTTTCTCCTTCTGCGTTGGTCTTAGTGGATTTTGTCCACCCGATTTCAATGCTTCTCCATACTCTTCCACCTTGGGACTTTAATAATGCTCTCATGCGCCCCTTCCAAAAATTGTAGTTTGGTCCGTGTAACAATGGTGGTCATTGGACTTTCACACCTTCCTCCATGTCCCCCCATGATTGATCAAGCTAGCAACTTAAGCTTAACCGCTCTGATACCAAATGAAATTGTTATAGAGTCTCACCGCAACATAAAAATATTTCTCTACGAACAATTTGAATCAACTACACGACACACTTGTCACACAGAGACAAACAAAGTGCTGAAGCACTTCCTCTGTCACAATCAATCACACAAACAAGGAAGATAAAGACAGTAAGCAAGACACAAGAACGGTTTACGCAGTTTGGAGCAATTCTCCTACTCTGCGGGGCCCACGTCCGTGTAATAGCCCATCCAATAAATCACTGCAAACATTACAACTTCAACCACCTTGGGTACCAACTAGTGGATTGAACTAATCTTTTACAGATGATTTAAACAACTAACTCTGTTAGTGTTACACCCAATGGCTTATTACACCAACCTTGATAACTTCTATTATTGGACGTGCTATCAGCCCTTTCTCTAGCCCTTCCTAGTTCACCAGTTGGATACCGTTTCTAGCAGAAACACTAATGAACCCATGATGTGATCTGTGAATCAACTGTAAACTCTTTGTGCTCACAATAACACTATATGTCACAAGAATCCCAACAAGGTTCCCTTCTGATCTCTCTTTGCTGCTAGGGTTCAGCCTCTCTCAATTTCTCGCTGGAATCTTATGCTCTGTGTCTCACCCTTTTCTTATCGTAAGGACCTGTATATATATGCAAGCATTTGAGAACCCTAGTCACGATCAAACTTGAAATCTTCAGCAAATAACATCCCTGGAGTTTGCAGGACTCTATGGAGAGCTTGCAGGAATCCTTCTCCATCACGTAGAGGTAGACTCTATGAGATAGAATCCTAGTCATGCCAAGACAAGTATACACCTCCTTGACACCATGACATGGCAGGACACTACAAACCCAAACCAGCTAGACAATACATACGAAAAACAACCATTCCTACTATTTGTTTTTGTCACAAGGATAAGGCCAACAAACAATAAACAATAAGGCCCAGACTCTCCCCCTTTGTAACTAACTACGTAGTATAAAGAGTAACTAACAATTTTGTGTCTGATCAGATCTTTGGCTTTTTCAACAAGTCTAAACCCTTTTTATCCCCAAAAGTTTTTTTTTTAAGAATATTTTATGTATATTAAGTCATACATTTACACAGTATTATTATATACGGAGTATGTAAATAAATTGCACCTAAAAAGACATTTTTTTAAAACCACATATTCATAAGTGTGTGTTTGAATACACAAATACTCGGTAGTATTTTAATAGTAATAATCTTTTTTTTCTTTTGGTATTGCCAAAAGATTATATACATATGATTACCCCAAATTGATTTTTTTTGTAACGACAACTAAATTCAGTTTAATAAAAGGTTAAAAAAATGCATAGAAAAGTATATCAACATGAAATATAAGACTAAAGGGTAGAGTCAACGACACACGTGTTAAATATGTTTAGTATATTTATTATATATGTTAAGTATATTCCTTGTATCAATTATAGTACTGTAACACCCTAATTCGTCCAGGTCTGCAGCCCCTTTCGGACTAAAGTATTGATTTGGTAATCGTGATAATTTAAAACATTTCAAACATTTTTTATTTATAAATAATATTCCATACATAATTGTAGAAAATACGGAGTGTTTAATAATAATGCGGAAGCGACTTTTAAACATGTCTCATAACAACATAATTATTTATTTTGTTCAATGATCCACCACAACTGTCTCGCCCCTTCTGCTGCCAGGAATCAGCCAATCATTCTTTCTACCTACCTGCGTGTAGCAAATAAAACACACTACACGCTCAGCGGTGAAGCTGAGTAAGCATATCTAAAGCGTCGAACATTCAAATAAATTGAATCTCAATTCATAATCAACCATTTGATATCATGCACCCAATATATAATTCAAACGTTCATGATATTCTCACTATTTTATTCCAAGTCATTTGATATTCAATATCTCAACCATGCTCTTAAATTATTCTTAATCTAAGGCCAAATCATTTTATAACAAGCTCTTAGCTATTCTTAGTCTAAGGCAACATTTCTAACCAGGCCCTTAAACTATAAATAGTTTAATGCAGAACACAAGAATCGATAATCCACCCTATGGGTCATGTGGATTACGTACCAACCGATCAATGATTTGTCGGGTGGGTGATATCCGGTCTGGATCCCGTACGTACGTTTTAACCCGAAATATGAATTGGTCAAGTAGGTATATCTTAGAGTTCTTCTAGATATCCTTAATAATCATCATCAATATACAAGTGGGTATATCTTAGAGTTGTTCTAGATATCCTTAACAATACGATTCATTAAT